GAGGAGGAGGAGGACGAGGAGGAGGAGGAGGAGGAGTTGTGAAACCACTGGGAAATATTAAACCTTTAAGAGGTGGGCCTAGTTAGGAACTAGGTCATAAGTTGAATTCATCCAAATTGAAAGTAAAATAATACTACACTTCTACTGGAAGTGCAATTTTCATATGGTACAAACACTTTGGAAATAATTTGCCAGAATTTACCATATGTAAACCCATCCACAGTCTATGATACTATGAGGAGACTTTATGAGTAACCGGAAGGAATGGAATTTCCCCAGTTGACCTTCAGTGATACTATCCTATAAAGGATACTGGTGAGGGACTGGGGTACCACATTATGGCCTGCTGTGGATGGAAGTCTAGATTCTCATTCAGCCTTTGTTGGTGTGAAGTGGGCTACATTTTTTGTCATATGGTTTTGGCTACAGTGAAGCAACTATTATCTGAAAGCGATTTTCTTTCTAGCTGCTTCTTTCCTTGTACTTTGCCTGGGGGGGGGGCGGGGAAGGAGGGAACTTTTCTTAGGATTTACTTTGTTGGTGTTTGTGGTATTTTCAGGTTGTTGACTTCTTCAGCTCCAAGCCTAGAATATATGAGACCAAAAGGACACCAGGAATTTCACCACTTCAGATCCTGAAGTCTTATTTTCTCTCTTTCCACCTTTAATAGTCTTTCTTGCTTTTTCTGCTTTGTTTTGTTTTTTTTTGATAGATGAAATTCAGGATTTTTAGTTGTAGTTAGCAGGAAGAATAGAAAAATAGATCTATTTCTTCTTATCAAAAGCAGATATCCTTTGTAATTTAGCATAGATGATTCCATTTAGAATTGTCCTGTGCATTGTGGATTTCCAGTGTCATCTATAAATGTGACAACATGTCTCCAGGTATTGACAAATATTCCCAGTCAGGAAAGAGTCACTCCTAGTCAAAATCTACTGTTCTAGATCATGATCATAAAAATAAGGGTCATTGTCATTGGAGGTCTGCACTGCCTCCAGCATGTAGCACAGAATTCTATAAAGCACTGCAGGTATTTAATGCATGATAACACACTTGGGTAGGAAGTATACCTCTAGTCAAGCTCCTCTACTTAAAAGTTGAACCAAATTAAAACATTTTAGTTTAGCTCTATGATGTCTATAACACCTTTCTATGTTTATATTTTGACTGGTCTCAGCCAATTTGAGAGTAAAATCATACTTCATTTCTACTAGAAGTGCAGTTTTCATACAATACAAGCACTTTGGAAAATCATTTGCCAGGAGCTATAGCAAGTAAGTCCATGAAATCCTATGAATAAAATGCCCACTTAGCATGTTATTATTATATATTAAGAAGAAATTAGAAACCTCTTGGAATGTTCAAAGAAGAACTATCTGTACAATTGAAAACTAGACAATACAAGAATGCTTATTAATTATAGAAAAATAAATTATAGTATATATTCACATAATCAGAACAAATAAACTACATCTAACAAAATGAATGTTATGAATGCCATAGTATTCCATTTTTGTAAAGAATTCTATATGAGACAAAACTAATCTATGCTATTGGGAATCAGGAAGGTGACT